CTCGCATCTGAAATGTATGATGATGTTGTTGCTCATGGGATCCTGCCAACATCAATAAATACCTACCATTCATTAGCTATAGACAAGTGTGATACCACCAAAATAATTTAATAAATGTACACTTTTTCAGTACTACTAGTATTACTAGTTATACTACAGTTCAGTAATACTAATACTAGTTTCACTAGTAATCCTCTCTCAACGCTTATTTTCAATCCTACATTCAATGTAATTCAAACAATGATTTCACTCAATCAATGCAACTAATCAAACAATGCAACTACTTTCCTACTCAATTCAGCTCATATAATGGACAGATGAAGATACGGCTTATCAAACAATGCAATTATTTTCCTATTTTCCTACTCAATTCAGCTCATCTATACAAATACCCGTTTTCAGCTCACAGGGGATGAGACAGATGAAGATACGACGGCAGACGACGGAATACCAACCCGGAGGAGTTCGACTGGAAGAGAAGAACCAAAGCGAGTTCAACCAAAGCTCAGGAGAGGAGAGCTGTTGAAGTGAGGAGTGAGCTCAGTCGAGTGAGAAAACGCAAATATCGAACCGCTCCCGCACAACCGCTACTTACAAACCCAGCAAATCAATTTACAAACCCAGCAAATCAATTTACAACCGGTTTCGGTTATGTCTTTTTCGATTTTTCTTTTATTCTTTTTCTTTTTTCCTGAGGCCAATTTCGTAATTCCCTTTCCTTTAATGAAATAGAGGGATATTGAGATTGATAGAGGATATAGTCGATTTAAAAGTTTTGAATAAGGGCGTCTCAGACGTTGCCTCTAATAAATCAGCACCATATCGTTTCAACAGAACGAAACATTAGCTTCCAACGTATATAAACGTGGTCACCAAGTGAACAATTTTTTTATTTAATTGTTTTTTTTTATATACTAGCGAGCCTCACTTGCAACAACCGTTCTTTCCTCTCTTCACAACTTAAACCCAATCGCGTCCATTCCACGCGCCACCACATCCTCTTCTCCTCTCCGATTATCGAATCGCTTTCCTTCTGAGAACTATCGCCTCTACTCTTTCCGCTCCCTAACCAAACTCCTAAACCCTAACGACCATCCCTCTCCCCTCTCTCAAATCTCAAAAATCCTAAATTAGGGTTCCGTCGCTCAAATCGACACCACAGATTCCGATTCCGACTCATCGTAACATGTGATTGATTGCTCTTCACAAACACTAAAAGAGAATGATAGGTGGAAGCAGTAATAAGAAGAGGAAAGAGTTAATCAGTGAAGGAGACATCGCCACTCTTCTCCAAAGGTCTCTCTTTTAATGATTATTATTCGCTTCAACTTCTTCTCTCGTTTTATAGACTTAAATATGTGTCTTTTTGTTTTGCAGATATGACACTGTGACGATACTAAAGCTCCTTGCGGAGATGGCGTATTACGCTGAGCAGAAGATGGACTGGAATGAGTTGGTGAAGAAGACTAATACTGGGATTACTAGTGCTAGAGAGTACCAGTTGTTATGGCGGCATCTTGCTTATCGTGAGACTCTTGTTCCCGTGGATGATAATACTCTCCTTCAGGTCTGTATTTGTATTATGTTTTTAAATTTGATTGTATAGTCTTTGTTTGTTTCTTTGATGATAGATAGATATGGATTTTTTTGTTGGAAACTCTATTTGGTTGTCAAAGTTCTCATCTTGAATCTTTTGTTTGTTTTGGGATTCTTACTTATTAGCATCTGATGAGTGGCTAATAGTTCTCAGCATTGTTGTTTACTTCTTTGATATAATTTGTTAGTGGACAGTATTTTGGTTCAAGTTTTGTTTTGGGGGATTCTTACTTATTAGCATCTGATGAATGTGGATAAGCATATTATGACGTGATTGCAAAATTGTGTTTTGTTTGTTTCTCTGATGATAGATAGATATGGATCTTGTTAGAAACTCAATTTGGTCGTCAAAGTTCTCACATTTTTTGTTGCGTTGCTAATGTTTTATGTTAGGGGACTGATTCTTACTTATTGGCATCTGATGAGTGTGGATAAGGATTATATGATGTAATTGCAAAACTGTAATGAAGTCTTTGTCTTGGTTTTTGCAGGATGATGATAGTGACATGGAGTTTGAGTTGGAAGCTACCCCTGCAGTCAGTGTTGATGCAACAACGGAAGCTGTTGCGCATGTTAAAGTAAGTAGGATATAATGATATTCTTCTTCTTTCCTCTCAAAGTCGTTCAGTTTCCTCTCTCTACTTCTGCATTATAAGTTCTTTGAGAGATATTTTAGTTCCTGCTGTTTATTTATTTTCCTTGCATTCATTTTTCTGTATTATACATTGTTTTCTACATTCATAGAGGGGTATTCCGTAGATAAGTTTCTAGATATTAAGCAATTGTTTGGCGGAAATTTTTACTGAGGTTTAAAAATTCGATCTCTATTTATGAGAGAACGAGCAGAGTATGGTTGCATTTTCTTTTTGTTAGATCTTTGGGTTTCGTAAGATCATGAAGCGTATTAGAAAATTTTATGTGCGAAAAGTTGGATTCTTCTTATGGCAAGGAGCTTCCTTTTGTATTGATTCACCTTTTCTCTAGTTTTCGCATTACCCTAACCATTACTGTTCTTGATTTCTATCGTGTTAAATACCAGAATAATTGGTTGAGTGTGTATGGTTAAAGATCTTAGTTAGTGGTCTAAATGTTACCATGGAGTCTTCCTAATAATTAAGTTGTAGATACTATTATTGGATATTGATATCTGCTTATCCTAAGTTCCTAATGATCCAAATACTAAATTTCCTGTTTTTCTCTCCTTATTTAGGTGATTGCTGCTTCCTATGTGCCAAGTGACTCCGACATTCCTGAAGACTCAATTTGTGAGGCACCCTTGACCATTAACATACCTTATGGCCTGCAGAGGATGTCTCAAGAACAATCAGACTCGCATTGGTCGTCAAGAGGGATGAATATCACCTTTCCAATTTCTCTTCAGAAAGCAGCTGAGGGACATAATGGAAATGGGTTAGCCAGTACCGCAGGTCCTCGCAAGAAAAGGAAGAAATGGTCAGCTGAGGAGGATGCGGAGCTGATCGCTGCTGTGAAACGACATGGTGAAGGCAGCTGGTCCCTTATTTCTAAGGAAGAATATGAGGGAGAGATAACAGTCGCACAACTTTCGCAGGTCAGCATTTCCTGTCTATTGGTTGGTGCCATATGCATAGTATTTCTTACCATCACGCAGAGAGCCATTTTTGTAGTAAGAGGAGTATGAGTATGACGGTTTACTCTGTTAGCCATACTGCCGTCCCTCCTTAGGTCTTTTTGTAGTTAGTGCACTGTTTTGTTACTACCTGCTTATGCACCTCTAAATGATATGATCAAAATCTCCTGACAAGCATAGAAGGCCTCCGTTGAGGGCAATAATCCTATCTGTTCACCATTTTTGTGAATATTTTCTTTTCAGATTATTTATGATGTTTCCATGTATACCCTGTAAGTAGTGTGAAGAAAGATTGATGTAGATAACTTTGGATGCGCATATGTGATGCTTTTTATTTAGCATATTTCTTTCCATGGGCTGGTGGTAACAAACTGATTTTTTTTCATTTGCAGCGGTGGGGGTCTATAAGGAGAAGGTCTGATATTTCAAACTCTTCTACTCAGTCTTGCCAACAGCGAACAGAAGCGGCTAATCGTGCATTATCTTTGGCAGTGGGAAATCGAGTTCCCTCAAAAAAAGCTGCAGTAGGTATGAGTAACAGAAGATCCTTTCCAGCGTATTATACTATTTATAAGTTGTTCAAGTCCCAAAGCTTCTGTCAGTTAGATTTCTCGATTTGACTGTGTTTGTTTAGGTATACCTCCAGTGCTTACATCCGGTAGCATCACGGGAGCACAAGGCAATGGTGCCAACAGTGGTAGTTCATTGCAAGGTCAACAACAGGCTAAGCCAGTAGTTCAAGCAATTCCTCGGGCAGCAACATCCGTTCAAAATGCAAAATCTCGAGTCACCGCAAGGAAACCAACTTCCACTTTGAGAGCAGAACTAATGGTAACAGCAAATTCAGTAGCTGCTGCAGCCTGTATGTCTGGCCTGGGAACTGCTGCATCCGTGCCAAAGGTTGAACCAGGAAAGAATGCTGCTCCTGCGTTAGTGCCAAAGGTTAAATCCTCCCAAGCCTCTTTGCCTCGTCCCGCCGGTATATCATCAGTAACGAATGTTGAGCCTGTGAAAACCGCTTCGGCAGCTTCTTTGCCTCGTCCGTCAGGTATATCATCAGTAATGAATGTTGAGCCTGTAAAATCCGCATCGGCAGCGTCTTTCCCTCGTCCAGTTGGTACTATATCAGCATCAAAGGCTGAGCCTGTTAAAACCACTTCGGCAGCCGTTTTGCCTCGGCCGTCAGGTATCATATCAGCGCCAAAGGCTGAGCCTATAAAAACCTCTCCTGCAGCCTTTTCGCCCCGTCCAGCAAGTATGCTATCAGCACCAAAGGGTGAGCCAGCAAAGAGCGTTTCTGCTGCTGCTACTACTACTACTAAAACCCAAGTGGCTGGAACTTTGAGTACAAGGAATGCAGTTAGTGCAAGTCCAAAGCATGTGATATCTTCATCACCACCTTTTAATAAGCCTTCACATATGGCTCCTTTCTCCAAAGGGCCTACAATTCAGAATATTTCAGTTCCTTCTAGTTTTGCAACTTCAAGGTTGGCTCCCACACAGAAAGTTAATGCAACTACTGTAACGCCACAAAAGCCAAGTGTGGGAGTGGCAGTTACCTCCACTTGCAAGCCGGTTGTTGTACAGAAACAGCAAATTCAGGGAAGCAGAGCAAGCCCTTTGGTTACAACAACTCTTCAGCCAAATAAAACCATCTCAACAAACTCAGTATTAAGCACAGGAAAGCCGGTGGCTACACAAGTGGACACTCCTACTCTTTTGCCTAAGAAAGATCAAGTATCTCAGACTGAAAAAGAGACTAGTACCACGGTTTCACCTTCTGTTGTGGCTGAGACTGAATCAAAACCCATGGATGAAGCAAGTAAAGGAAAAAATCCGGACGTTGCTACCGTGACAGGGACCGACCAAAAGGGGTTGTAGTTTTTATTTGCTGCATTTCTTAGTGCTTTTTATTAATGTTTTTTTCTTAGGAATAAGACAAGAATATGATGGTGTACAGTAGTACTTACTACTACTAATTAATATCACAAATTTAAATATACTTCGAAAATTCCAAAAGAGATTTTCAAATTCTTGAAAACAGTTAAAGAATGAAAAGATACAGTTTGATTCAAAGCTAGAAAACGAGGAACTGTAAAGGTAAATAAATAAGAGACAGGTGATTGATTTATTCAGGGAGGTTTCCAGGTTGCCTAACGTAACTAGATTGTCTTTGCAGAGCTGGAGATGGACTGACACAAGAGAAGAGAGATGCTGAAGCTTGCTTCTGTTTTGTATGCTTCTTCAACTTGACACCGAACAAGAATGACCGTAATGGAATCCTCGTTCTTCCACTCGACGAGCTCTTGCTCGGAGTTGTTCTTGCTTCTGCTGCACTTGCCATCCCAATATCCTCTTCTAGTTTGCTCAAAACCCTCTCTACGTCAGTCTTCAACGTTCTTACACGATCAAGACCAGATTGTAGCTGACTTGAGACCCTTTTGTTCTCTTGTTTCATGTTGAGTATCTCTCCATGGAACTTTGCAGCTTGGTAACCACTTATCTCTGAGTCACTTACTTTACTACCTCCAGAATGAGACGTGACTCTTGCGATTTCTTCTTGGATATTAGCTAGCGATGTATACCTTCCCTGGAGTTCGTCTTTAAGAACGGCACTGTTCTCTAGCCATAGCTGCAGCTCTGTTCGGATCTCTCTAAGGTGTCTATAGATAGGTTTTGTCTCTGATGCAGCTGTGTGCTTACTGCTACTACCACTTCTTGAAGATTCCTGCTGTTGATTGCTTTCGATTCTCAGCTTCGACAGCTCTGATTTCAGATCCTGAAATGTTGCCTGGTACTTCTGAATCTGATGTACAGATGTGCTAAACCTTAACCAGAACTCTAGATTCTCTTCCAAGACCGCGTCGATATCTGCACGCACTTTGTCTTCCACTGTTGGAATCTTTGTCCTCGGGCTATCATCAACGTCTGCAAATTTCACCCTAAGCTCACTTGACTTTGTCCTTGCGGGTGTCCTCTTAATCTCTCCTTCCTGATGATGCGGCGTAGTGGCAACTGAGAAGTTTGACATTGGTGAGATGCTCACACTCTCCTGCTGTACTTGATCATGCTCCAGCTGGTTGTGCCCTTCTACTTGATGTGGTGAATCTTTTCCTGGCATCTCGTGCTTTTGGCGTAAAGACTGAATCTCCTCGTCTTTGTAAGCAACAGCGTTCTTGAGTTCTCTCAACTGTAATGCCAGCTCGAAGAACCCTTCACGGTTCTTCTTCTCAACATCACCTAACTTTCTTTTTACTTCTCTGTAGTCTCTTAGTACTGATGTGTATTCATCCAACAGAACCTTCTCTCTATCCTCCATGCCATCTGGTAACATCTGTCTCCAGTTTGGTGTCTCGTCATCTTCGTCTTCCGTTATCAGATCTTCTCCTTCTGTTCCGAAACAAGTACTTGCTGTTTCTGACATAGCAAAATGATCTTTAAACTCAGGTTTCTCTTCTTGACCTCTTTCTTCGTTGTCTTCTTTCTTCCTTTCAACACTACTCTTCGTTTCTGTGTCCTTTGAGATTGACTTTAGATCATCTTCTGATCCTGAAACAACTGGCTGTTCCTGGAAGATTCTGCCTCCTTCGACATCCTCATCCATCTTCACATCTTGTAACTTGCCAGATAAATCATCAGCAGTCCAGTTAGCTTCCTTGAACTGTTTCTGTAGACTCTTGTTCTGATCTTCCACCTTTTGAAACAGCTTTCTAACTTTACTCAGCTCATCTTCAAGAACGGTTATCCTCTGTTTCATATCAGTGGAATCCGAAACAAGAGCCGCCTTGTCCTCCTCTAGACCACGGATATGTTCATGTAACCCATCTGTCTCTGATCTCAATGTCTTCACCAATGCGGTATGAGATGAAGCATCAGTCTCCAATGAAACAACCCTATGCACAAGATCATCAATCTTCTCCACAAGCTTCACAACAGTAAGATTCTCGTTTGAACTTTCCCTCTCAGGTTCAAGTTCTTGAACCACGTCAGCTTCTTCTTCTTGTTCTGTCTCAATAACCTCATCATGATGATCCTCACTTCCTCGTTTCTCAAATTTGTTCCTCAATGCATAAAACTTCTCTTTAGCAGTATTGATTCTAACCTTCTCAATCTCAGCTTCTTCAACAGATTGCTTCTGTTTCTCCTCAAGCTTAGCTATTGTGTCTTTACAAGAACTCAAAGCAGTGCTTGCCATCAACGTCCTAGCTTCACTATCATCAATCGCAGCACCAAGACCAAACTCATCTTGTAAGTTAGAAACCCTCTTCTGCATCTCAGTAACTTCATTCTCCAAATCCCAATACCTCTCATAAGACTCTTCATATGAGCTCCTCACAAACTCTTTCTCCGTCTGCAACGCCAAGATCCCTTTCTGAAGGATATCAATCTCCTCCAAGCCCTCTTCCTTACTCAATCCTGAACTCACTATCGCCGCTTCACGCTTGGCGGCTAAAGCAGAAGACACTGTCCTTTTCAGAGCAGCTGGTCCTTTTCTTGACAACATCATAGATTGACCTTTATATTCTTTCTTTGGAATCTCAGGGACGTCAGGGATGTTGCCTCCCTTGGGAATTAGATGAAGATGAGGTTTCCTTGGATTCCCTTCGTAATCTTCATTTCCATCATCATCATAATCATCCTCAGGAAACTGAACATGTTCAGGGAAAGCTGTGGCGATTGTGCGGTTTGCGCTTTGAAGCTCTTTAGATAAATGATCATAGCGTTCAGCTAATGCACGGTATGATCTGAAGGCCTCCTCCACGAAATTAACAATCTCTGGCCTTTTACGGTAATACATCTCAGCTCTTTTGGCAAAAGTGTCTCCATCTTCATCTATGATCTTAAGTGTATACTCTACTTTCTCTTCCATATCTAAAACAACGAGATAGTTTTTTGTTTAGCCATCTTTATTGGATTAAGCAAATGGAAGATAGGATCAAGAACATTAGTATTAGGTGAAATGTGAATCAAGAACAATGAAACGTACCTTGAAGATTGTGTTCGAGCCATTTGGATTGCTTTGTGCGGATGTGGCTGGCCCACCACCATGAATACGCATTGCTCGCTGCTCTCTGCAACATGTTTTTTGTCCTAAAGAAGAAGAAGAGGAAGGCTCAAACATGGCCGATTCATCAATGTGTGAAGAAACTTGAACTAGAGACTCTCAGGATCAGACATAGAAATACTCTTTGTCCGTGTGTAATGGGACATGTCCGAGTATTTTGGTGGATCCTTTGATTAACCTCATTTTTAGGATGTTTCCTTTGACAAATAACAAACAAAATGAGACCAATAAAAATATAAAAATTATACTTACTTTTTTTTTAAAATAAATAGATTTTATTTTCTTTATCTCTTCTAATTTCCTCTTATCGTAAATATTATTTACACTACTGTGTGTTAGTTTAGGTGAGTGAAATAACAAATACTCTTTTTGTCAACAATTTAAAACAAAAAAAACACGATTCGACTAACCAAATCTGAAATACATGATACGTATACGAAAATAAATATAAATCTTACCAAGACTGTAATACATTGTCTACAAAGAAAAAAACAAATAAACGATTGATACATGCAAGTTTGTCCACTATTGTTTAAAATTTTGGCACATTACTTCATTTATTGGGCACATACTAAACAAGAGAAATTAGGTGTAATATACATAATAAAAAAAACTAAGCATATAACCATAGGCTATGATATTTTATATAATTTTATAAAATATTCTAACAATACTTTCATCTGTGCATAGAAGGTTGAAAGGTGCCTTTTTAGCTTTAACCTGAACTCGAATTTTTCCTTTTACAATTGTGTGATGGAATTAAGAGGAACTTTTACTTTAGGCAACACGAATAATTGCAAAACACAAACAAAGGAACCAGGGTAATTCGAAGATAACTTTATTGGATAGGAGACATAGCATAAGTTTGAAACCACGACCCTTTATTTTTTAGACTATTAAATTGAAACCATCATCTATTTTACAGATCCGATTGGTAGAAGGTTATCAGCAGGCGACGGAAAAGGTAATGTGATTAAGACATTTAGTTAAACTTTAGTTTTGTAACTTAACTTAAGTATTTTTTATTTATTTTGGTTTTGAATTCGCGACATAGTCATGTATGTGTCTGTGTTTGCTTCATCTGTTTTCCTATAAAATTTTCTGGATTCTTAGGTGAGAGAAAAAATGATTTATTCTATTCTGTAAAAGAAACGTAAATAATATAGTTATGTATGATATTTTAAATTTTGTTTGGGTTGGTTATGCACTTGATAGTGAGAGATTGTAATATGTTTTGGCCCTTATTGTGTTCTATGAATTGAGTATTTTCATTTTGTTTGGACTGATTAGTACAGTTAGTAAGACAATCAGATTTATTAATATGCTATTAGTATAAATGGATTAATCTATTCCATTTGTCAAACACATATGGTATAGTGTTGTTTTTATTTATCGAAACATTATAACTTTCTTCGCCAGCAACACCACCACCACGTCTTCCTCCTCATCCTCCTCCTCTCTCACTCCATTTCAATCACTCCCACCAACACTTCCTTCTCTGTATTCTCCACCACCACCAACGCCTCCTCTTCATGCTTCAATCACTTCCACCAACACCTCCTCTTGTTCTCTTCCTCAATCACATCCTCCTCCACCATCACCACCACCTCCTCCTCTCCCTCCTCCTCCTCTCTCACCCGCTTCAATGATCACTTCCACCAACATCTCCTCCTCCACCACCACCTCCTCGTCTCTCACTCTACTTAGTTTTTTAATTGGGGTCGTTTTTGTATTACGCAATAATGTCGTGTCAGACACATGTAGATTAGTTGTTCTTTTTTTTCATTGAACTAAACATTTATGTTGTATCACTCTATTGAATGACTATATTATATGTTATATAGTATAATAATGTTTTTTATATATTATTTTTTTATGTATTCATGCAACAAAGAAATATGTTTGTATTGTGACATAGCAAAGAACTTTCATTACTATACTATTACATTTTTAATATAGTAAAACATGAATTGGCATATGCAACATTAAGTTTATATACAGTTTTTCTATATTAGATTTCATCATTTGAGACCCCTGTAATTTCATTAATTGTAGACTTTGTTTCTTATGGCGGCAGATAAAGCATCGTCGCAACCGATAAATCTCAGTATGGTTACTTCTTATACATAACAGTCAAATAAACATGTTCTTTGTTTCAATTCGACTATACTATAGTACTATGTTATGTATAATATAGAATCATATGGTGTGTTGTGCTGCATGAATTAGTATAGAATCATATATAAGCGATAGTAAACAACAATTTTTTTGCCCCCCCCCCCATTTCCTTTATTAGAATCCATTTTCGAGCCCACAATACAATTCTACTTATGTTGTCATGCATTTTCCAGCTCCTATACTACCTAAATATCACATTAAATTGGCTATGACTATATTCTTCCTTGTTGATTCTCTTATGAATATTCATCAAATTGTCCCTACTAAACAATGCATTAAAGAAAGGGAATTATGCTAATATAGAACAAAAAAACAGCATTCATGTCCCATTAGTATAAATCCTTTTGTCTATTTTTTTTTCCCTTTTACCCTTTCTATTTACAAAAATACAGAGAAGTGATGAAATACCTATATACACAAAGGGATATTTTTAATATTTTCAAAAACTTGTTAAATTAAAAATTTTAATTACGTTCTACGGAGAGTAGAACTCATATTCTACGAAAAATCGCATAGCATAACTCATATTCCTCGTTTAACAGTAAACTCTACAATTTTAGGAAGTTATATTCTAGAGAATAAATGAATGCGAGTTCTACATTTTAAGCCACTTCTACATATCTCAGAATACGTAATCTATAAATAACTCAAACCTCTACTATTAGTAGAATTTGCTTACAGTGGGGCGTTAGTAATTCTACTTTCTGTAGAAGGTAGCTTCTACGGATAAGATTAAATAAAAATCCGAAATTTTGAGAAAATATTTAGGAAAATATTCAAAAAAGACTTTTTAATAATTGCACTTACCTTAAACGTGGATGTCCATAGACTAATGTTTGGGATCGATCGATCTAAAATAGAGATTGATTAATCTATGATAGATCGATCGGTGAAGATCGACTGAACTAGACAAGGTCGATCAGTTTCTGCTCCGTGCTTTTTTATGTTTTTGTTTAATCATCGAGATCGACCGTTGGGATCGACCGACTCTTTCTGGGATCGATCGATCCCGTCATTCGAAAGATGTACTCTAACTTACGAAGATCATTAGTCAATTTGGGTGGGTTTATATGGATGTCCATAGACTAATGAACTGGATATGTTTTCTTGTAGTTTAGGGTCTCATTTAGTTTTCTTGTAGGTTAGGGTATGTTTTCTCTTCGTTTAGAAATTTGTTCCTTAGAAATCATAATCATAAAAATCCACAAAACAATTACCTTACAATAAGCATACTTTCTAGTTTAGGCATTCTACAATCAAAAAGTCCTAATTGAAAACCATACAAACTAGAATGATGAACATAACTATTACATCACAGAATCTCCTCATAAGTCGAAGACAAACACTCAGGAACTTCATACTTTGACATCTTCTCGACCAATACCGGATCATTAGCTGCTTCCCAAAGATCCCACAAAACTTTAAGGTGTGCTTCTTTGATGTTATCATCATTCACTAACGATAAATCCAATCCAAGAGCATGGCACTCAATGAACTTGAGTGCATAGACACCACAATCACAAGCACCTGCATTTAGACTCTCCATTGGGACATACGTAACCGTATACGAACTTACTGTGAAATCTTTCTGGTATATCGCTGGCTGAACTGCCTTCACAATACGTGGAACAAGGTTCGTGAACCCATCCACCTCCCTATACCTTTTTACACCAGAGCAGTCAAACACATCAATGTGCCTGGTTTGGAAATATATGCACAAAGCGATCCAATGAATCCCACTGACATGAACATGGACATACAGCCGATCCACATCTACATTCCATATCTCGTGTGTTCTACCATTTGGTGGAAGGACCCCTTTTCCGAACTGCAGTAACAAAATCCGAGTGGGTTGATGATTAATTCACAAATATTAACAAATGACATAATAATCATATAATTGAACAAACACACAAATTAAGTCTATGGTTGATGATTAATTCACAAAATTAGGTATTTTTTATTAACCTACTTCAATTCTATGGTATTGTTTATACAATTCACACACACAATTAATTCATCAAAGTAAGATAATTCATAAAAAATCGGTTCACAATATCAGTTAACAAACATAACAGCAACATATTCTTTGTATCCTAAGAAACGAACATACAAAGAAAAATCCGAGTGCATAACACAAACACATAGACACATGCAAAAAAGAACCGGATCGAGGAGCATGCAAAGAAGAAAGAGTCAGGTTAGACATAATAATAATATAGGATCAAAACAAATCAATCTGAGGAAGGAGATAGTTTCGACTTTTACGTTGATTCTACTGATGTCGGAGAAAGAGAGGTAGAGAGAAGCTATGTTATCGTCTTCTGTTCGTTGAGAGAGAGAGAGAGAGAGAGAGAGAG